CTCGCAAAATTACGCGAAAACTACTCATAGTTTCAAAAAATTGTTCCTGACCTTATTTCCAGATCTGTCTTTACAGAACATATTTTATTAAAGAAGAAAATCTATATTTCCAAATTGTAGAAAGATGCTGAAAAACATTTTGAACATTTACAATTTCTGAAAAGTCATGGATTTCAACGAAAATGACAGCTCCTCCACACTTTTCAACATTATTTGCGCTATCCTATGATAAATTTTAATAAAAAATTGGATTCATTTTTGAGAAAAGTTTGAAAATGTTGAGTCTACGTATAAAGAACCTCCAAAAGTCAAAATATCCTTTTCAAACTGGGAATTAAAATTGGAGAAAATACTCTGAACTGTTTAGGTCCAGAGATAGATGGACAGACGTTCTGCCATCAATCGATTTTTCGGTATCGAGGACCCCCCCCCCCAACATGGATTCTGACTATACAACGTGTTACAGGAAGTAATTTACTACATAGAGGAACAATATTTACACAATTTATAGTTACCAGGGACTGGCATTAGGAGTTTATATGTCAAAAATTCACCGGTTTTTGGCGCACGATTACAGTACTTCCTCTTCTTACGAAGTAACGACGAGAAAATAAAATAAACATGTATTAAAAATCGCTTTAACGTATCGATCTGCCGCATCTAATGAGATGATCATCGTTCGTTTCGTGAAGTACAAGGCAGCGACAAGTTACTACAATTTACATCTCAGTAATAATTAATAGCTCGTTACCTAAATAATGTGTTAATTTTACCATAGGTATCGCACAACGTCAGTAGTACCTTCAATTATCAGACTGATTCGATCAAATTGAGTGAGAAATTATTTTGTTATTCCACGGAAATTCACATCATGCTATTCAAGACATAAAATGTTATTCACATAATACTTATCACTGAGTATGATATCAAGATTTCATTCTGACCGTTTGTAAGGGCCTAAAACGTAGTGATTTAAGGAACTAAATGATTCACTTGAGAGTTCATTTCGAGTTCTATATGATGGTCAAGTGGGTTACACGATAACCTGTGTTGCCGGTTGCATGTGCGTCTGCTTGTCCCCATGTCCAATCCTATGTGCAGATACAATGTTTCTAACGCATTGTTTGGTATAAGAAATTCGGAAATACCGAAGTATCTAAAGAAACTGGATAACCTCGGATGAAGAAATATGAGAAGACGAAGTTACTCATGCTTGCTGCTAATTTCGGCCTCTCGAAATGCAAGGAAAAGGAACGAAGAGGGCTATGAATGAGTCATACAAAGATGTCCCTGAGCTCTTACTTGTTTGGGCATCAGGAATTTTCCTTACAACGCCGTCTCTGTTTACAAGCGAGATCCTCGTTGAAAAGAATCCAGAATGCCAGTTAATTCTCATTTTTTCTAGATTACAAACAAATTCAATAGCTGATCTCAGTATCCTGGGAAATTCTGTGGACAATGAAACCCGGCATTTTGTTTGACAATCATCGAGTTTCTTCCTATAAGAAACTTGTTTTTGGACGGAATATAACAACGTCGAGAAGTTGGATCAGGAATCTGTAGCTGGGGGACACAAGATCCAAAATTGTTACTCTCGCAGTGCCTGATCACCTCTACAGTTATTCTACTCGTTATTGTCCTCTATTATTATCTCGCTAAAAAAATGCGAAGTTTTCGAAGGCCTCGCTCGAATTAACATGTTGCCCTTTTTCATCTACTCCATATTATTTTGGTTGTAATTAGTTGTTCTACTTCATTCTTTTACGTTTTTGGTCTGTCTGAAGTTACCTGAAACGTGTACCGGCCTGAAAGTAATATGACCTCATGCAAAGACTAAAGGCACCCACAGACCGGCGCGTAAGACACGCAACCTACGTGGGATGGCCGCTGTGGAAATTTCGCGTAACGTTTGGCTTATGAGAACGTTCAGACCTGCGCAGTAGGCGAACGTCGCAGCTGCGGATTGGTAGCGTTTTCTTACCTGCAGAGTTAGAACGCAGTCGGATGCGTATCAACCGCTGCCGCTCGAGTTCTGGGGAAGTCCGCCCGCCTTCGGGAGTCTTCGCTCCCCTCATGATGGAGCTCCCCATGCTTGTGTTTATCGGATGAAGAAAACTGTCACCGAATGCTGAGTCATAATTGACGCTCCGGTGTGAACGGTCCCGCGGATTCCGCCGCCGCGTCTGGCGCGGAACTTTCCGCACCCGCTGCGGAGCTCCCGCGCCGGTATGTGAGACATCGTTGAATGAATTATTTGAGAGAGTCTCCTCTTTCGTTTTGAGAGATGCTAGTACAATAAAAGAAATTTCTTTTTAAAACAGGTTTCAAGCGTGTAATACTTGACTTCACTCTTCCACGTTACAACAGAAAGTTCTGATCTGATAACAATTGCCCGTGTGTGTCTATTAGTGCGCGAAAATATACGAGAAACATTGAGATAGCTAGAGACGTCTATGGGTAGACGATGGTGATCTCAAAATTAGTTACATCTTCAGATCCTAAATGGAAATTAAACGGACGAAATTACCCGAGGTGGCAGAAGTTACCCACGGCAAAACGTCTTTCTGTCTGTCCGTCTGTGCACAACGCTTGCGCATAAACGCGATTTTCTTCAAAATCGATATTCCTCAATCGTTCTAGCTGATCTCGCGGAACCTGGGATTTCAAACCAATATTTTAATTTTGGGAGTACTTTATACACGCTCCTGGAACATTTTCATAATTTAAAAAATGTCTATAAAGTTTTTGATTAAATTTTGTTGTTTAATAGCGCAATGAACGTTTAAGAGAATGATGCAGGTCTCATTTTTGTTGACATTCCCTATTTTTTGAAGATGGAAAAAAAAATTAACTTCAAAATTGGAGATACAGATTTTTTGTCTCAGGCAAAGTCTGTTGTACAAAATAAGCTCTTGAAATAAGGTCTAATGTACATTTTTTAAAAAAAAACTAGTAATTTTTGCGTATTTTGCGATTGAAATTCGTAAAAAGGTTTTCTCAAAAATCCCTCCAATTTTTGTCTTTACGTTTCCTCCACATATGTAATAAGGAACGGTAAAAAATATGGCGCGTCTCATTTTCGGCTATTGCTCTTTTATGTCGAATAAAAAAATTCAAGACTACAAAATTGAAGATAGAGATTTTACGTCAGACAAAGTCTGTTGTACAAAGTAAGCTCTTTAAAAAAGGTCGAGTACAATTTTGTTGTTTTGTTAAGTCCAGCTGGTGGTGGTGCAACTCGTAGACCGAGAGCTAGTACTTCAATTTGCGATGAATTTCGTAGCAGTTTTTTTTATAAATTACTCCTCAGAATGCCCGGTGAGGTATGTTATACATAATGTAATACTCGTATCATCGGATCCCTAAACCAAATACTGCTTATTGAACAAACAAAAAACGATGAAAACATATCGGAACTGTTATTTTACCACGAAAGGCAAATCACGAGTGAGCAGTCAGAATTTTCGTAATTATTTTGATATAAATAGCATATATTCTAATTTCTGTATTGATGTTATTAGCCAAACGAATTCACTTAGTTTTGACATCGCTGCCCTGGCAAAAGTGTTGCTCGCTTGTTGGTTGAATTGGGACGTCTTCAAATAATAGCTGAGGTAGCGCAGAAAAAGCAGTATTTCAATATTACGTAGCTATTTTCAATAACGCGAGAAAATATGTGCTGATGTAGCACCACCAGTTTGCCTCGTTGGCTTCGGAGTAATTATTATTTTTGTGTGTTATTTGATACCATTTGCTAAATGTTACAAAATGAAAATATTATAAATTTGCATAAGTGAAAAAATAAAAAGTTTGCTCAGGACGGCCAGTACGAGTTTTTTACACCTAAAACGCTCGAGAGTCTCCCTATGCTGTAAAGGGTTTGACAGATTCGCCGTGGAGGAAAACATTTTTACAGCCGTATTTTTTAAAGAAAACCATTTTTTGTAGTTTTTGCTTTTTCCGCGAAACGATGAATTTTACTCGATCTTAAAATGCGAATGGATGTGTAAAATACATTTTAATGATCAACTACTACTGTTCCAAACACGAATGTATCATACGAGTGGACTCAAGGGCCATAAACCGCTTAATGACGTTAAAAGTGATAAGCGTACTCAACGCGCGTATGTGGTAGCATTTTGACCATGCTCCTTTTCCATAAGAAGTCTAATGAACTGCAAATTGACAGTTCTAAATAATGAAACTCTCTTTTCATTTCAAAACACATATTGCATTATTTTATAGGAACATTGCACAAAATGCTTATTTTAAATTTTGCTGTCAACAAACCGTAACAATATGCGGACACCGGTCACCGGACTCTCCATACACAGGATATGGAACTTCGTTTCTTGAAATATCGAAACAGTTGGCCTAACCCTACAGGACCAAACCTCATGAATCAAAATGATAACTGGGCAGAGATAATTTAGTTGAAACGACAAATCATTTGAGGTTAAAGTACATGTTTATCATCCGAACCCACAATAATCGGCAAAATATAAGCAGACCGTAAAGTAAAACAAACTCTGCCTACAATGTCTTAAGCATATGCGGGTGCTTTTATGATTTAAAATAGGATAGGATAGACATGCTAAACAACATATTGTTCTAGACTGGTTTGTGTCGAATTTCAACTCAAGACTTAAACGCGTTTCTGCTCACTCGCTCCACAAAACACTCCCGGGAAGGGAGGGATCCGAAGGAAGTCATCTGAAGCGTTGCGGAGAGTTCAAGCGGAAACTGCCTTCTGCGCGGAAAATGGACGGTCGTTCAGAGAAGAGGGTGGACAAAATCCGCGCCGGTTGCGCCTTCTGAAAAGAGCTGCACCCATTCGTACCTGCGACCGCAATGCACGACTCGAAGTATCAGAGTGTCCCGCGGCGTCGTGACTCAACGCGACGTGGCTGTTATCTGCAAGATAGCAGTACAGGCGCGACCGTCGGCGGAGGCGGCGGAGGAGGAGGAGGAGGCGGCGGCGGCGGGTCTGGGAGGGGCATAGCGCCCAAAGCAGCCGTGCCACCGCCGCCAGCGTCGTCGCAAGCAGCCTGGCAGGCAGATGCAATCGGGCGAGCGCGCGGGCGAGCCACCGCCAGGCCACCGCCATGGACACCAAGGAGGCGGCCGAAGGCGCGGTGGCTCTGGATGTGGACGGAAGGGACGAAGACGACAACAACAATGAGACGGTCCTGCGTTCGCCCGGAGGGGACTCGGACGGACCGGAGAAAGCGCGAGTCTCTCTCAGCATCCTCGGTGACCAGAAGCCCCTGCTCTCCCCGACTGTTAGCATCCGAAGTACCAGGTACTCCCTCACTTCTATGTCGTTGCTGTACTTCTTGATTGATAAATATTTTTTTATGAAGGTGTGATGATAGTGAAAAGATTCGTGTATTTAAAATAGCCTTTGATATTGTTGCAACCGCTGATGATGTTCTTTTTCGTGCGCTTAATTTAAAATTCATTAGCTGTTTCAAGTACTAAATATTCAAATCCATGATTTCTTTAACGATGCTTATGATTATCGTCTCTCAATAGTTGCTACCAGGCGCGGATCCACGGGGAGGAAAATGTGGGAAATCCCTCCTCTAACATTTTTCAGTAACTATTAATGTTACTTTCACGAAACTTTCAAGCAAAAATATTTTCGAATAATCATTCAAACGAGTAACATCGTACCGCAGCTGAGCTGTAGTGAGCTGAGTGTAGCCTGTGACATTTTACAAAATCTGTAATATGACACATTCGACCAAAACATTTTGAATTTCCCCTCCCACAATTTATCTCTGGATCCGCCCGTGTTGTTACGATACATTTTTGTTCGCTTTTTTTTCTCGTGATATCTTTACTCTTTGTAGAAATCTTTTTCTTTTTTTTCGAATTACATTTACTTAACATTACTGGCGTTTAAAATAACACTTTTTTTCACTTTCTTCCGTCTACACACTTATTTAATAAAGCAAGGCCGTACTCTTATCAGAGACTGGCGATTCAGAAACAGGCGTCTCCTTCTAGTGTTCTTTTGCGTGCATCTCCACGGCTTCCTCATAGTATGTTTCTTGGTCACAGGAGGCCATAAAGGGCGAAGGCGACCAATCAACCTCATTTCCGGCTTTTCGTTGCGGGCAGGATCGAGATGGGAGCGACTCTTATGCTTTTTTTTACGATTCTGCCTATTTCTAAAACTTGTCTTTCTGTGTGCAAAGAAACATATTTACAAGAGAATAGCTTCAAAAAATATTGCCAGAAAACGGGGTCAGAAACTTTCGAAAGTAACACACCGCACGCCCGGCCTTTCCAATCAGTGAGGTGTGTGCGGTAGGTTCATTGTTTTATCGGAATACGTAGAGTGAAAAAGATACGATAGGAGCACTGACACGTGAGATGTTTACTTAAAGTCGTCCTGTCTCTATTCCAAATTTATCACTAAAAACCTGAAGCAATGTACGACAAACCGCTTCGTTTATTTGTTTGTTCGTTATAATAAATAAACAAGAGTTCACTGATACTTATATTCCTAAAACGGTTTGAAAAATATGTTCTTTCCATTTTTTAACAATTTAAAATGTCAGGATCTACCTTCAACATTTATTATTATTTTCTTGCATATGACCAAATGTATTAATTCCAGAAATTTTGTTTGAGGAGCCTAATTTCTCATCGGAAGAAGGAAGTTTCTTGTCTTTTAATTCCATTCGTATGTTTTCGAAATCGATGTAATTGCTTTTCAGAGTTGTGCCCCGCGCATTGAGGGTACGTAATCTTTCTGAAGTATTTTCTTCGACATTTCAAAAACCAAATTCGATTTTGTGTATTATTTGTAAGTTTACATACGCATTATGAGGAAACGTTTTATATACGCATTATATAACGTATTACATACGCATTATGAGGAAATTCAGTTTATAACATTCAAAGAAAAATGGAGTTATGATAGACCTAATAAAATTTTGACAGTAATGCGCTATAATACTATACTCTAAATACTAAAATGCACTATTGACTGTACTGTAATAGAGTGGTTCATCTCCCACGTTCAATATCAGTAACGTTATTCATTTGAATATTGAAATGAGAATGCTTCAGGACACAGTTAATCGTTCCCACTAATTTTGATGATGTGTAATGGGAAATTAATTAACCTTTTATATGCGGAGTTTTTTCCTTCTGCCCTATCTCTGGTGGGCAATTTTTTTGGTGGGCAAACAGACGACTATGCTTGATCCTAGAGTATATTTAACTTTAACAGCGAATGACTAAGATTTTACAACCCTTGTAAAATATTTGAAAAGTGCATAAATGGTAATGGTTTCTAAGGTAAATCAATGGACGAATTAATTTTATTCCCCTCGGATTGCACTGAATAGACATCATAATAATTAACATATTTTATCTATAATTCACTACTTTGTAAACTCAGTGATCATTGATCAATGATCAATGATCTCACGAATGCAGTATCTCACGATTCAATCATGGTAAAATACAGATCATATAACTAATAAGAAGATCGTCAACCCTTGCTAATATTAAAAGGTTCTGAAACAGCAGCGAAGTGATCGTGTATCTCATAGTATTCGCCGGTGTCAACTCAAGAGACTTCAATGAATTCTGAAAATAATTTTACATTTCTCACAAGATGCTATGGTAATATACTTTAAAAAATAGGGTTCTCTATTTCCCAAGTCTGTTATCTATTTACTTACCAATTACTTTTTTTTAGTTCAATATGAATTATACGTTCACTTGAGCAAATTTCATAAATTGTGTTCTTAGTTCTAAACTTACGTTATGGCAACTGGCAGAACACGTTTTGAAAAGGGTTGTTTCGCATATCATATTGCTTAGTTATTTACCTTTACATTCGTTTATTCAATTCCAGATGTGTTTAAAAAGTTCTCGGGGGTGGGGAGTGATAGCAAGTGAGATGTCTTCAAAATCTTTGCTTAAGATGATTGAACAGGAGCGATTTCCTCACGTTCTCATTTCATTTACGATTTCTCATTTCATTTACGTACGATTCCAAAATACCTTCAACTTCCTTTTGCATAGTAATGGCTAGCCGTTTTCTTTTGTTTTTATTCCCCCTTGCGTCATATGCGTCAGGAAGACATATGTAGGAAGCTAATGTATGGAAATTTCAAGTTCTCTGAAAATATATGATTCTATTTCTTTTAGGGTTCGTGGAATCCACTCTACGCAGTGTATCGGAAAAGATGTGGGATGGAAAACACATTCAAGATTTACATTCGTCATATTCGATGTGCGTTTATGCAAAATTTGAAGTGCTCATAGATTGTAATTGCAAAATACGACAAAGGCTATGAGATGCAGCCGAGTACAAAACCCGTCTGTACGTTGCATGAATTAGCATCCTTTTCTAGATGACGTCAATTATTTGCGAAGCAGCAGACCAATGATTCACACTATCGCGACTATGTGCAGCATCAAGCAGTAGTGTAAATGCATCTGCACATAGAATAAATTTGTATGAGCGGGAACGGGTAATTATTATCCCGTGGCTGTGAATTACCCATCAACATTGTTAGACTTTTCCATTAAGTTAGAAATAAATATCGGAATCTTTCTATAAGTCACACGACGGCATAAAATGAATTTTTCAATGCGCTGATGTGATACAACTATTTAATATTGAAGTCAAAAAAATCAGTATAAATTCCTAGACTAAGTTATGATTGTGCAAATATTCAACCGTATCACTCATTTAAAAGCACGAAACATTCTAATAAGTGATATCACACATAAAATTGCAAGTGCCGTGGCAATGCTCTATTCATAACAGCCTAAACGGTAATGCTCTTGTAACTTGCGATAATCTTATAATTGCGAGTACTACAACTTTTGCGGCGAACGGGGTTTCCCCAGCCATATACTCGTATCTCCAAACAGTGGGGCATCGCCCCAGCTGTAAGCTCCCGACAGGTCTCGCGGTATGTTTGGTGATGTAGTGCATGTTAGCGAAAATTGAAAGCTCATTTTCACAGAAAATTTTTGAGTCTTCGAAAAACTTCATTAAAAGTCATTAGAAGCATTTTAACTCAGATATACAATAGTGTTTACAAATCGCTGGAAATGTGCATATTAACGGCATGAGAGATCTTTAAATAAATTATTTTTTGTATTATTATATAAAAAAAGACCACGAAATGAACTTTACGTCATATTAAAGAGTGCAAGTAGCACTATTCGCTCGACAAATTTGAGGAAAACAATTGGAGACATTTTTGAGAAATTGGCGTTTGAGCGTTTCTGAAAATGCGGAATTTCGAGTTAGTTTTCACAGAAAACGGTTGATTTTTCGAGAAACGTTATCTGACATTATTTAAAATACATGTACTCATAAATATAATAATGAGAACAGATTGCTGCTAGTAGAAATATTAACGACGTGAGAGACAAGTAAAAAAATACATTTCTGTAATTTTTTAAAAAACAAAAGAATAGAGCGACATGGCATTTATGTCACCTTATAGAGTGCATTTAGCACTACCCTAACAAAAGTTTAAAGAAAAAAATTGTAGCGGTTTTTGAGAAAATCTTGTTTTTGTAATTTTTTAAAATTGCTAGTATTGCGCGAAAACTACTACAATTTTGAAAACAGAGTATGTGACCTTAAAGAAAGAACTCATTATGGAGAACACATTTTATTTGAAGGAAAAATGTTTATCTTGAGTTTTGTAATTGTAGGAAGACGAGCGAAACATTTCAAAATTTTAGAGAATTCTGAGATAATCGTGAATATCTGACCTGTACCACCTTTATACGTGTATTTTACTCTGTTCTGACAAGAAATTTAAAGAAAAAATTTGGGACCGTTTTTGAAAAAAATTTGAAAATGTCCGGGAAGCTTCTAGTAAAGTACCCCTAAATTTCGAAGTAATTTTTCCAAAAGCGAGGTACCTCGAGTGGAGCCAGATCGATTGGGGAATATTCATTTTGGGGAAAAAATCGTACGTATGGTTTAGGTGCTAGTGGTTTTCAGACAGACACACACAGACGGACGGACAAAAAGACGGACGGACGGATGGACAGACGTGCATTAAAAAAAAAAACTTTTCTTTATCAGGGGACCCTAAAACGTTAATTTCCGTTGAAATCTCGGAATCAATTTTCCGCAGCATTACATAACTTTCCCTATCCTATGTATAGTACTCCGTATATAAGTAAGTATACGGAAAAGTAAAAAAAAGGAGAAACGTTTACAAAGTTATGTACGAATGCAGGGGCTCCTGCGAAAGTCAGGTAGTTTGAGAAGACTTGACTAACTATTTGTGCACACACCAATTAAAGAGCGGCAGTTCCTTGCTATTGTTTGGCAATGGGCTGTGCTTAGCAGCCGCGTGTGATGCCCCTTGACTTGCAAACGCGTT